TAACTTTCTCACGAAGGGATGGAATGTGTCTCTCCTTACTGTATTCAGCTGCCAGTGTTACCGAATTCCTGACTTTGTTTCTGAGACCCAGAGCAGGACCTCCCAGTGACTGCTCTCTGGATCTTGTCTCCTGCCTTTACCTGTTTTTTGCTCCTTGACTAATATCGGTCTTAAGGATCCACATACTGTTTGGGTGATGATGCCTTTATGTCCTGATGCCTGGTCAGGGCTCAGTTACTAGGACCTCTGCAAGTGGGGGAATCTGTAAAATTACCACCATCTCCTCTGCCTCGTCCTCTCTGACTTTTATATCATTATTAGATCTGGTCTGCTCTGTTGAGTTAATCACATTTAAGAAGTTGGACTCTTTTGGTTGTGTGTGTGTGCGCGCACTTGTGCGTTTTGTTTGGAGACTACTAGAGAAATGAAACTTACAGAGCATGAGCAGCTCTGGGAGAGATGAATTTGGAGAAATGAGGAAGCAAGGATTACCTTCCAATCCAATGAGATAATTGATCAACATAGTGGAGTAAGTCAAAGCCAGATCTCCCTCACATCCAGGTGTTTTATGCACCTATTGTGCTAAGAGCGCTTAGGATAGCATGTGCATTAGCACATGTTTTTGGCACATAAGTGCAGAATAAATTATATCAATAATATCCACTTGGGAGGTTCAATATCTCCTGGGTAGAGAGCTAAGACATGAAACTACAGCTAACTATTCTAGCCTGTTAACCGGGAATTCCCTGGGAATTCCCTTTTTACTGTATGCAAAGCTTGACGTATTTATACCTCCCGCTTGGTTAACAGGCTAGGCAGCCAGTGTATCACAGTGGAAAGGCAGTAAGTTGAGGGGAAGAATATTGCAGTGGTCCTAAGAGTATGGGCAGAGCTTTCCAAAGAGATAAGAGTTGGAGCAAGACCTAAAAGGGTGTTTGTTATTAACCTTGCCTCCACTGTTTCCTGCTTCTTAACCATTAGTGGATCTTGGCTGTTGGTTTTGCCATCGTAGAATAAAGAATACATAGGGAGAGCCTAATAATGTGCGTTTCTACCTCCAAGTTAACTTCCCTTAATTCCAGGGTCCTAGTAATCGAAAACTGTTAACTTCTCTCTGCAAGTGTAGCTGTCTGCTCTCCTGACAGTTTCTTTACTTTCCATTTAGATTATAAATATACAGGGCCTGGGACCGTGTGTTTTTTATCCTTACTTCATAATTCCCTATGGATAAGACTAGCCTGGTTCTTACATCGTAATCTAATCACTTACTAAGAGGTCTCTGTATTTGCTGAAGGTGATGGATTAGCCTTTCAAGCACTACAGCCCATTCAGTACTGGTTGTCTGGGGCATCCCCATCACCTGCCTTTTTCTGAACTCTATTTCTGTTCTAACCAAATGTGCTCCTGCTTTTTTTCCCTGATCACCCCATTTCCATAGCCCATTAAATTTACTTTTAAGGAGATGTCAAACTTCCCTTAAGAATATGGGCTTTCTTTGTGACAGCACATATGCATAAACCGGCAGATAGGCACCTTGGCAGATGAGATCTGACCAAGTAGAGAGAAAACTTTCCTCGAGAGTGCCCAAGTGAATTTTAAAACACTTCAAGTTTATATAGCCTTATTTTAAAAATTATTAAGTATTTTTAGCTACTAAGTTTCAACTTGGTTAATATAATAAGCTTTCCTCAAATTCAGATGAACTTTTGTCCAATTCACTAAAAGCATTTTTAGTCAACTATTGCATTGGGACAACTAATGAACCTTTCCTCTGTGGTTCCTTTTTGCAAATGGGCTGGTTTCAATATGTGGGCTGTAATTTATGTAATTGCCCTCTTTTATTCCTCTTTGTGATCTACCTTTAATTCTGTTCATTCTGGTTGCTTTGTAAGTTTGAAAAAAATAGCATGTAGGTAGACCTGGAAAGAGTAGATATAGCAAAATTATTCTTAGGCCAAAATTTTGTATATTGTAAATTACTTTTTATAGACTGCCATCTTGAAACCTATCTCAAAGCAATATGGAAGTGTTTTCACCATTAATGCTGCATAGACTCATTTATTTAACATTAAACAAATACTGGCTTCCCCTCTGTGTAGATGTAGTTGCAGGTGCTGAGCAGTTCGCAGTGAACCAGACAAGGACCCTGCTCTTGGCCAGCATGCAGTCTGGCTGGAGATGCAGACAACAAACAAAGCACCAGATACACAGCCTGTAGAGATAGCAGTTGATTCCCCAACCCTTTTCCCTGTACCAGTGCTTCACAGCCTTGTTACCTGTACTGTTGTCGAATTTAGTCTCATGGTGCTACACTCCCCATCTGGTAAGAGGTATTTAATGGCCATATTCTAATACAGGAGAGAAAGAATGGGAGAGTCAAGTTCCTCATGGTTAAACTGGGGCTCAGTGTGCTTTACTCTCAGAATTATAAAGATGAGAACTCATTCAGCAAACACTTATTGGACAGTGTATCAGTCAGAGTTCTCTTATGTTCCAGGCTTTATAACACCTGTGTGCATGCCCTTAAGTACTTCACACTCTAGATGGAAAGATAGAGACATAAAGTAAATAATTGCAGGTAAATGTTATAATGAAAACACACGTCAAGAACAAGGAAAGAACCACAAAAGCAGTAACTGACTACCTGGGGGAAGGCTTTACTCTAAAGTGACCTCTGAGCTGCATCTTAAAGGTGCCTGAAAATGCATCATGCTTCATGTATTCAAGAAATGTTTACTGAGCACTTCTGAGCTACACACAGTTGTTGGCGCCGTGGACAGAAGTGAACTACACAGAGTCCCTGCTCTCTTGGCAGCAAGAAACAGACAATAAACATAGAAACAAATAATTATATATTTGGTGGTAAAACTGCTAATCCAAAAAATAAAGGTTAATAAAGAGTGATAAGGGGTGCTGTTTTAAATAGTGTATCTAATGAGATGACATTAGAACAGAAGCCTGAATGACATGAGAGAATGAGACCAAGAAGCAGGGGGAAGCCATTTCAGACAGAAGGAACAGCATGAGTAAAGGCATGATAATCATGAAAAGCATGGCATCTTTAGTGCAAAGTGAGATAGTTGCACTGAGCATGTAGTAAGGTGGGGTGCAGGGAGTTGGGAGAGTGTGCTATTTGAGGCTGGAAAAGCATTGGAGGAGAGGGCGGGGAGGAAGGAGGGACCAAATGGTGAAAAGTCACGTGTTCATACTCAGGAGTTTCCGTGCTCACATTATTGATGGGAGGAGAAGGGACTAGATTTCAAAAAAAAAGTTAAGGGGAAAATGGTTAGATTTTTTTGTTTGGTCAGGTTTGGTCTGGTTTTTGGCAAATTACTCTTAACAGCAATATGCAAGATAAGTTGAAAGGAGGTGCAGAGGAAGCCAATTATAAGGTTATTATGATAATGCAAGTGAAACATAATGTGGCCTTAATTAAAACAGTAAGATGAGGCTAGAGAGAAGATGGTAGAGTTCAGATGTTTTAGAAGACCCAATTATGTAACATTTGATGCCCTATGAATTATGTATGGAAAAGGTCAAGGACCATTCCTAGGTTTAAGTTTGGGTGACTGAGTGGGTGATAATGCCATTAACCAGCTCAGGGAGGCCTGGAGGGAAGGCAGGTGTACAAGTGCAGATAGTGAATTTGATTTGGGGCAGTAGAAAATACAGAACTGGAAATTAAAAGTTGAGACTGAAATACAGATTTGGCTGTTACCAGCATTTCATGGAAATTTAAAAAGGAAAAGGAGCAGAAAGAGGAGTCAACATTGTCAGATACTGCACAGAAGTTTAATAGGAGGAGGTTTTTTTAAAGCCATCGGATTTGACAGTTAGAACGTCACCAGTGACTTCAAGAAAACCAATTTCAGTAGACGTGGGTGAGGCAGAGCCACATCATGGTTGAATTGGTGAGTGAAGGGCTGAGAAGCTGGGATTGTCCTGCCAAGGTCACTGTCTTCTCCACTTTTCCAAAGCTCCTCCTTGGAAGCTTTGAACCTGAGGTCAGATCTTTTCTTCCCCTGCTTCCTTGGCTTTCTCCACCAAGGCCTGGGACTCCATGCCTGAGCTGAGGATGCTGTGGACAGAAAAGTATTCTAAGATTTTGGGGTTTCTGATGTAAGAGGAGCCATGATTAGGGGAGCCTGATGTTGGTGAGTCAAATATGACAGGGAGCACCCTCAGGAGGAAAGAGCAGGTCAGACTGTCCAAAGACCTGCCTCCAGTGGGGGAGAAAGATGAAACATATAAGTCTCTATTATAGGCAGAAATTCTGAACTTGGAAGCTGAACTAGAATGAGGAGCAAAGGACTTCAAGGGCTGGTGGGAGAAACTAGGCCCCAGTGAAAGAATGGAATCTGGCCAAGTGTGGGGGTGAGGGGTAGAGTCTGACAGCAAATTAAGGTTAACTAGAAATCTCGGCAGCCATATTTAGGTTTCATAGGGGATAGGGATTTCAGGTCTACAAAGGAGAGACTATTGACTGTACTTGTGACCATAAAGAGAGCCGTGAGGGAACAGTTAATGAACTGAAGTGCAGTCCCAGTTTAAATACCTGGCATATGGATGTTAACAAATATTTGTGACGCCAAAGGGGTCCTTCAGATTATGTGGAGGAAAGGAATTAGATGCCAGAGTTCTGAAGACCTGTCAGTAAATACCTAGGTTCCCTTCTAGGACAGGATGGAGGCAGTGCCTAAGGGATCCCAGACAGCTTGGAGGTAGAAAGCCCAAGAGGGAGACTTCACCTTGGAGGGAGTTGGAAGCCACAAGTTCAGGGTAGAGGGCCCACCCCTTTAACCCTGGAGACCCAAAGAATTAACCAGTGGGTTTACCAGATTTTCCCAGTGCTGCACATACCCCTGGCCTGTTTCTCTTGCCTGCACTGCCATCTATGCCCTCTGGGGGGCGCGGCTCGAGGGCGAGGCAGGTGGCTGTTCTGAAGCCTCGAGAGCCATCAGTTCCTACCAGAATTCCTGCCTGGGGTGCGGTTTTACCCCATGGCGGGACACAAGCCCTCAAACCAGACCCTTCAGCCAGTTAGTGGTGGGAGCGGACCCAGAGGGCCAATGCCGATGGGTTTTGACACTACTGTTTGGTTGAGTGGCCAGGCAGCCCCTGGCAGCCTGATGGTCCGGCCAGGGATCCAGATAGGGGTTAGCCCGGGCCCTGAGGTGTGGGAGGTGCCCCTGAGTCCCCCACCATACACGTTTCGGGGCAGGATGGTGCTGTATGAGCCCAGGGTAGGAGCTGGCGAGGCGGGGACCTGGTTCCAGAGCCCCTCGGAAGGCACCTTCCACAGGCCCTGCAACGTCCTGCGGTGCATCCCGAGGCTGGCACTGCCCGAGGATGTCTCAGCCGTAGAAAAAGAGATGGAGCAGCTAGCCAAGGAGCTGAGACAGAGGAGAATGAGCCTTGGGTACTCGCAGGCCGACGTGGGGTTCGCTGTGGGCGCTCTTTTTGGAAAGGTGCTTAGCCAGACCACCATCTGCCGCTTCGAGGCTCAGCAGCTCAGCCTCGCCAACATGTGGAAGCTGCAACCACTACTGAAAATGTGGCTGGAGGAAGTGGACGCCAAGAACCTTCTGGGGTTATGCAGAATGGAGATGATCCTGCAGCAGGCTCAGAAGTGGAGACGGGCAAGCAGGGAAAGACGCATCGGAAACAACCTGGAGCAATTCTTCCTGCAGTATCCAAAGCCCACGCCCCAGCAAATGAGCCGCATCGCTGGACAGCTCCGGCTGCGGAAGGACCTGGTCCAAGTTTGGTTCTATAACCGGAGCAAGAGGGGGAATCTGCCAGCTAATTATTTCTCCTCACCGGAGGTGGGGGTTGCCAGGCCTCCTTTCCCAGGGGGAACGGTGTGCTTTCCCCCAGCATCAGGGCTCCAGTTTGGTCCCCCCAACTATGGAGGACCTTACTTTACACCCTTGTACTCCTCAGCCTCTTTCCCTGAGGGAGGAACCCTGCTCTCTGTCCCGGGCACCACTCGGGGGCTCCCCAGACTTTCCAACTGAGGGACCTGCCCTTCTGGGGAGAACCAAGCTGGGAAAACGGATCCAGGGCATTCATGTCAGGGCTTTTAGCATTAAATTCTCCATTCACTGTCTAAACAAGTTAAGAATACACATGTACGGGGTGGGGTGATAGAGTGGGAGTAATTTTTAAAAACCAAGGAAGGGAAATTGAAGTTTATTGCTGCTTTGTGTTTTTCCTTTTGTTTTAACCTACCATTGGTTTTAAAGTACATTATAATACATAGATGCTTTTGGATACTTTGTTTCTTTTTTTATTAACTGAAAATTAATTGTGTCTCTTATTCATTGTACTTATCAGTAAACATAGGGTTTAGTTTTTATAAGCACGATATTGAGTGAAAAATACAAGTCACAGAAAACTTGCAATATAGCATTTTTTTTTTTTTTCAAGCAGAACTTCATGTAAACCCAAAAGCAAAGTCCAGAATATTAGTTATCTTCAGGGGAAGGTTTGAGAATGGAATAGGAGTACACAGGACCTACCTGGAGTCCTTACGGAAACATGTAGGTTTTCTTGTTCTCCCCTTCTTGAAACATGTTTTTTTCCTGATTCACCATTTTATTTAGAATGCCCCGGCTTTAAGTGAGGTTCTCAGTTCAACTCTCCACCTTAGGTAGTTCGACAGGTTTATCTCCTATCCTGCCACAGTCATCGTATTTAAACCCCTTTGTTACTGAGGTTGGCTAACTGTACAGCAGTAGCTCAGCTCTGGCTTACTTCTCTGCTTTTCAGCTCCATTTGGTTTATTCCCTGGGAATTTCCCTTACCTTCTTTTGAGCTCATAGGCTTTTTAGAGTACATTTGTGATAGTCGATCCAACATTCCCTGGTGGTTTTTATGATAGTAAACCTTAAGTTGCTTTTCAACTCTCTTCTATGACATTGGTTTCTCCAGCTTTCTACCTCTACACCAATCTGTTTTGGTCATCATATGCAAAAAAATACCATTCAGCCTCTGTGTTTTCACATCTGGTGCCATATCCCTGCATGTGATGTTTATTGTTTTATAATTTATCTGTCACTATATATTATACCTGAGATTGGGTGTTCTTTTTGCTTACTAATCTTGTCAATTTTTCCTTTCTCTACATGGTCTTACAAAGAAGTCATCTATAGGTATTTTCAAAGAACAAGCTTTTTTATTACTTTACTTTTTTCTAGTTTCTTCTGATTTCTTTTAGTGTATATATTTTTTCTTGTTCTTGGTGTCTGAAGAAAGAGCACTGATAATACACATAGAAATGGAGCTAAACTTAAATTTCTTGGCCTTAAATTTAATAGGCGGCGAATCACTTACTCTTGAACTATCCTACTAAACATCACACAGCACCAACCCCATTCCTTTCTTTTCCTACACAGCCCTTCTGGAAAGCATGGAAGGGAGATGTTTCTGTAGAGGGTGAGGCAGTGCTTATTGCCAGGATGAAAGGTTGTGATTGTGCTATGAACATTCAGCTCCTCAAGCTGCTAGGAGGCTGTAACCCTGGCTGCTGCCTGAATTCTGCAGCCGGTGTGGACTTGGAGGAATGGTAACGGCCCTTGGAGTCAGGGAGCCGCCTCCAGGGTCTGCTTCAGCACCCGCACAGCTGCATTGTCCACACCGCTGCTGCACTGCTGCTTGGGTGAGTGCTGGTGCGTGCTGCTGGCTAGCCTGCACCCACTCCAAAGTGAGGTTTCCTATCACTGCTACTCTTGGCTGTGAATGAGAAAAGGCTAGACCTTGGGGGAAACCCTGATATTTTAAAAATTTCAGACTCTTCAGAGGTCTAATTAAGATTGGTAATAAGATCTCTCAAAACTGAGAAGAAGCCACCCTTAGAGTTGGAAAAAAACCAAGTGCGATGTCAGTGGTTAACACTGTCAAATGTATAGAGATCAAGTAACGTAAGAAATGTAATTTCATGAACAACAGTGCCACTGGTACATTGAGTGACAATAATTTCAGTAGAGTCATTGGTAGAGGCGCAGATGCCAAACATCAGTCCAAAGTCTTCATATTTGCCAGAATGTCCTCTACCTCAATTAAAAGCATAAATTTCAACCACTTACTTGCTAGGATCTTCACTATCGCTCTGAAAATGTTTGTCAAATGTTTGTTTTATCTTGTTTTCCTTCAACAAGGCAGGTAGTAGTCTCAACCTGAAGACACCAAACCCCGTTAGAGTATAAGCAGAATAGTGTCTGTACAACCTAAGTTCATTTTCTTTAAAGATGGTGATGATAGCCTTCATCACATTGTCAGAAGTTACCATGACTCTTGTAGGTCTGCAGTTTCAGTATTTACGAAACACCTTCCCCTTGGCCACTTTACTTTCAAGAGTTTTTTCTTGAACAATACCTGTCTAATAAGTCATTCCTAGTGTTCTAAATTGTCTGGATACCTTTAGCTCAGCATACTCTAAAGGCCCTAAATCACTATTTTATGTAAGCCTTTCAAATTCAGACTAAATACTGCATTGTGTATTAATAAATGCCTTACTTGTTCTTATACTTTTATAAATTCTTGGCACTTTAATTAGATTCCTATCATAAAGAGCAATTTCTCCTTTTTCTAGAAGATAAAAAACTGTTGTCTAAAAAACCTTGAGGTTGTAGGATATCCTCCCTTATTCCAAAACACTATCTTGCTCTTGAATTACCATCTGTTTTTTATAATTTCATTTTTTGAAATATGTATACTATACATCTTTGTTTATTATACTAAGACTATGTTATAGGAATTTATTTTTCAGAATAGCCATTTTTGTTTAAGGCTTTCTTCTAGAAGTAGTCCTGCTTACTAAACACTATGTATCAGTTTCCTTGGCAGAATATATTCATGATGAATTCTTCTTAGGGTGCAAAATTGTATTACCCATGTGGAACAGTGTTTTTAAAGTGAAAACTACAATGCCATTCCAATAAAATCCTAGTGGAAGGTGGAAGTGTTACTTGACAAAGTGATTCTAAACTGAAAGAATAAAACTTAGGGAAATACAGACAGATACAGACAACAGTGTGGTGATTGCCGGAGGGAAAGGGGCATGGAGCAGGTGGAAGAGGGCAAAGGGGGGATAAATAGTGACAGAAAGAGAATTGACTTTGGGTGGTGAGTACATGATGCAGTGCGCAGATGACGTGTTACAGAGTTGTGCACTTGAAACCTATATGGTTTTATTAACCAATGTCACCCCAATAAGTTCAATTTAAAAAATCCTACCTCCAAATAAGGTCACTTTCTGGGGTACTGGGCATTAGGACTTCAACATATGAATTTTTGTGGGGGAGCAATTTACCTCATAACACTAACCTAGTTAAAATTTAAACTAGTTTAAATTATTTGTTAATATATTCATTCAATAAATATTAATTGAGTACCCTATATAGCAGATGCTAAGGTGTAATGTTGACCAAAATCAGGTTCATCCGTTCCTCTCAAGGAACGTCAAGTATGGTGAAGCATCTACTTTAAACAAATAATCATGTGATTACAACTTGCAATAAATACTATGGGTTTTAGGTATTGGAGGTCTTAATTTAGATTTATATGTACAAGTCCTCCTGTTATAATATATAATCATTGCCTCTGATAACATCAATTGTTAACAAATGTTCTAAACCAGAGGGACCTGCAGAGGAAGTGTAGTCCCCTAGCCAAGGCATAGTTTGGAAGACAGGCATTTCTTGGTTTAAATTCCAGCTCAATAACCTGTATAATCACTGTTACTTTGAATGAGTTACTTCTTTCAGCTTGTTTTCTCATAAGTAAAATATGTCTAGCAATCCACAAGGTGAAAGAGTTGTTAAAAGGATAAAACTGGCCAATATAGAAAGAAACCCTTAGGACTTCCCTTTTAGATACTAGTTGCTTAGTAATTTTTCCTCTCCATTGTGTTTCCACTGTACCTTGTCTATGCTTTATTTATACCTCACAAATCACTCTTTACATCTCTAAAAACTTTCACATAGTAGGTGCTCAACAATTGATAGCCAGAACTGAACAAATGAAAGAACAGAAAAAGTAGTCTAAGTTGCTAGAAAACTTACTATCTGATATTGGGGAATGGTTTTTGGAATTATAGTAACTGGGGGACAATAATAAAGTCCTTTCCTTTAGCTGTCAAATGACAACTGTGTAAGGGAACATATGAAGGATTTAGATAAAGATTTTTGAAAACCCATGTAGCATTATATAATTGAAAGGAATGACCTCTGAAGTTGTTTCTAGCCTGTAATACTTGCATGGGTCTCCATAAAGAAGAACAAAACAGTGCACCACAGATGAATATGGAGGTACAGATTTAGGAAGGGAGGATAGAGAGTAGGGTGACTCTGGTCCTCATACTCTGACTTCCACTTAATCTTTCCTTTCTGTTCTCCTGCTGTGGTCTCAGTTGTCTCTCCCGAATGCAAACTCAATCCATCCTTTATTCAAACTGTTTCTTCACAGAGTGTCCAGACATGGTGGCTTTATGTCCCAAACCTACTATACCATATTAGTTTACTAGGGCTGCCATTACAAAGGACCCCAGATTGGGCAGCTTAAAGAATGGACTTTTGTCTCACAGTTCTGAAAACTCAAAGTTCAAGATCAAGGTATGGCCAGTGTTGGTTCTTTCTGAGAGCTGTGAGGGAAGGATCTGTTCCAAGCCTCTCTCCTTGTTTGTAAATGGCCATCTTCTTTCTATTGTTTCTTTACATTGTCTTCCCTCTCTCCATGTCTCTGTGTCCAGATTTCGCCCTTTTATAAGGACACCAGTCGTATTGGAGTAGGACCCACACTAAGATCTCACTTGAACTTGATTACCTATGTAAAAACCCTCTCTACAAATAGGTTACATTCCAAGGTACTGGGAGGTTAGGACTTAAACATATACTTTGGGGGAGTAAGGGAGACACAATTTAATCCATAAAACCTACCACTCCTGATATAAAGAAAATATCGTTGTATGTTGGGGGTTGGCAGGGTAAGGGTATAGGAAGGCAGAGAGACTTGTTTTTGTACAAAGGAGTCAACATATGTAAAGAAAGTGGTATGATCGAAAGGAAAGGACACTAGCCATCGAGTCAAACAGCCCCAGGTCTGCATCCTGTCTCAAGGCCACTCACATAGGTAATGTCACTACCTCAGGGTTCCCCCCCAGGACAGCTTCAAGAAAAATAACATTTCTTACCTCCCAACCAATAACTTTATGGACTGAAGAA